AGAAACCAGGATCTATTGCTTCTTATATAAATTATTTATCTCCCACTATTTTTTTGTTTTTGTTCATCCCAGCTTCTACTTTAATTCACTTCTTATGTTCCCCGTGGGATTACTACTGTCCATATCCCTTTCTTTGCGGGCCTTCAATCGTGTTTAGTTCTATTGGCCATTCTGTCAATTGCATTGGGGGTATTTCTAGAATATCCAAGAAACCTGGTAGATCATCTAATGTCCTGAATTTTGCTGTTCTTCCTTCTCTGTGCTATCAACTGTAAAGGAAACCCCCCATCTATATCTTCTCTCTCTCCTGTAAGATCTCCAATAAAGGCTTCAATGCCCTTCTGAGCATTAGTGTTTGTCTTGAAAGATCTGGAAAAAGTCACTGTATAACCATCATATAGTATTGATTTCTTAGTTCTGGCTGACTTTAAAATGGTTTATTTTTCAGTGTAATAATGTAAACGACAGATCACATCTCTAGGCCTTGTGGAGTCTCCTTTAAGAAATCCAGGTACTCTGTACACTCCATCTGTAATTATTTTCAGATTCTGGTGTTTATCCATTATATCATTCAATATAGCCTTTATTGTTGGAGACAGAGCACGTGTCTCAATTGTTTAAGGTATACCACTTAACTGTATATTATTGCATCTACTCCTATTTTCAATGTCATCCATTTTGTATATCATATCCTGGATCATTATTGAATGATTGATAGCTTGCTGGTGTATATCCAATCTAGAAGAGCATATATCCAGATTTGCCTCCAGTCTGTTTACCCAATCACCTATGTTGGAAATATCTACTTTTAAAGCCTGTAACTCCTCTTGCTTCCAGTCTGGCAATATAGCCTGCCACATCTTCTTTATTTGGGAGAGATCTTAAACATTCTCCTACATCCTGCTGTTTCATCCCCTCTTGCTCCAGCAAACTGGTAGTCTTTAGGCCAGGGGTGCCCATTAAGTAGATCGTGATCTACCAGTAGCTCTCAAAGCTGATGCTGGTAGATCACAAAGGGTGTGAATGGCGGCCCCTTTATTCCATTTTGGTATATTTAGCTGTGCACACACCTATTACCCTGAGTCTGCTAAGCCAAGCTCCCTGACACCTTTCTGGTGGTTGAAGTGCTATGTATTACCTCCAAGAATATTAGTTTACACAGCCTGTTGCACTACACTGTTTGCAAAATACAGCAAGGTGAGCCAGGAGAGACAGCCGGGTGAGAGAGAGCGCAAGGAGAGACAGCCGGGTGAGAGAGAGCGCAAGGAGAGACAGCCGGGGAGAAAGAGCGCAAGGAGAGACAGCCGGGGAGAGAGAGCGCAAGGAGAGACAGCCGGGGAGAGAGAGCGCAAGGAGAGACAGCCGGGGAGAGAGAGCGCAAGGAGAGCTCTTATGTAGCTCATTTGAAAAGTAGATCTTAAACACAAAAAATTGTGGCCACCCGCTTTAGGCTATCTGTAGTTTGTCCCTTGCCCCTGTCTCCTCTCTCCCCCTAGGAGATGCCTTAGCATATGAGTGGGCATGTATAGCATGGTCTTGCCGTGCATTCTCCTGAACATTGTCCCATTCCCGACCATGCACAGTAACAGGAGAGGCGGGCGCCGCCATCCTAGCGTCCCCTCCCAGTGACAGCCTCGACGGGGTACCTGTAAAGTATTTCCCGATTACTGCCAGATGGGGACGAAGGAGAGCAGGATCAGCTGTGGCATTTCCGTAGCGAGGCAGGGCTTGTGTGCGAGCGACGCTCAGAAACTCAGCATCCTACGTCATCAGCATGCCACGTTCCACCATCAACAACATGCAGTTTTTAAAGGAAGGTGTTTTTTTTTTATTATTAAGGGAAACAAAATCCAAACCCACATAGCCCTGTGTGAAAAAGTGCCCCCCCCCCCCCCCTTAGGAAAAGGTTATAAAGCCATTTCTAAAGCTTTGGGACTCCAGCAAACCACAGTGAGAGCCATTATCCACAAATGGCAAAAATATGGAACAGTGGTGAACCTTCCCAGGAGTGGGCAGCCAACCAAAATTACCCCAAAAGCGCAGCGACGATTTATCCAAGAGGTCACAAAAGACCCCACAACAACATCCAAAGAACTGCAGGCCTCACTTCAGGTCAGTGTTCATGACTCCACCATAAGAAAGAGACTGGGCAAAAATGGCCTGCATGGCAGAGTTCCAAGACAAAAACCGCTGCTGAGCAAAAAGAACATAAAAGCTTGTCTCCGTTATGCCAGAAAACATCTGGATGATCCCCAAGACTTTTGGAAAAATACTCTGTGAACTGACGAGACAAAAGTTGAACTTTGGTAGTGTGATGGTCTGGGGCTGTTTTGCTGCTTCAGGACCTGGAAGACTTGCTATTATAAATGGAACCATGAATTCGGCTGTCTACCAAAAAATCCTGAAGCATAATGTGCGGCCATCTGTCCGTGAGCTCAAGCTGAAGCGAACTTAGGTTCAACAGCAGGACAATGATCCAAAACACACCAGCAAGTCCACCTCTGAATGGCTGAAGAAAAACAAAAAGAGGACTTTGAAGTGGCCTAGTCAAAGTCCTGACCTGAATCCTATTGAGATGCTGTGGCATGACCTTAAAAAGGCGGTTCATGCTTGAAAACCTTCCAATGTGGCTGAATTACAACAATTCTGCAAAGATGAGTGGACCAAAATTCCTGCACAGCGCTGTAACAGACTCATTGCAAGTTATCGCAAACGCTTGATTGCAGTTCTTGCTGCTAAGGGTGGCCCAACCAGTTATTAGGTTTAGGGGGCAAACACTTTTTCACACAGGACCATGTGGGTTTCGATTTTGTTTTCCTTTGATAAAAACTTTCCTTTAAAAACTTCATGTTGTGTTTTCTTGTGTTATCTTTGACTAATATTTAAATAGTGTACGTGGCCAGTCACGAAGGGGTTAAAGTGTGACAAACGTGCAAAATAATGAAAAATCAGGAAGGGGGCCAACACTTTTTCACACAACTGTATGTATATTTTTCTGTTTACATGTCACACACCCTAATCATTCCATTGCTGTTGCTTTTATTAACATTTATTTTCAACATACTAAATGCTGCGGGAATTGTGAGAACGAACTCTATGGACAAGTTTTATTTCAATCTCAATAACTAGGTGACTAAACACAAGCATGAAGAGAGGGCGAAAAATAACAGTATTAAGGCATTGTACTTAAACAGTTCAAAAATGTTAGTTCCCCTTTAATGGCTTATAAAGCAAATAGGTTTGCTACAAGACAAAATAGTTGGATAATACAGGCACAGCAATCATAACAATAAAACGTGTCATTAACACTATATTAAAGAGACACTATTAATCAAATTTGGTGAAGAAAAGTATTTACAGAGCACTAGTTACTTATGATAGCTGGTTATGGATGCATACTCTTACTCCTTTCTTCCTCACAAAAGACTTTTCACTGTTGTAAAACTGATCAAATGTTTGTATTGCATGACTAGTATTCAAAAGTATTGCAGAAATTCAGTTTAGAAGGATTTTAAAAGACCAGCACTAGGAGGTAGGAGTCTCACTTACATAATTAACTTATAATAAAAGAAAAAATTTTTTAGGTAAAAAAAAAAAAAAAAAAGTGTCTCTTTAAGAAATATTTAATAACGATGTGGAAACCGTGGTTCATTAGGTCTGTTTTGTCCTCCAAAGTTGCCGCCTTGAAGCCCCATTGCTGACATATTTTGAGAATTTTCATTTGGAATAAACCTGCATTACACAAGAGAAACAATTTTTAGCACTTCCTATTAAATAAAAATACTTAAATCACATTCACTTTTAGCAAAAACGTTAATGAGTTTCTAGCACAGGGCTACAGACCTTTGACAGTGAACAAGTTACTAAAGTGTGACATTTAAAAAAATGTGCATCTATCTCCCCATCTCTATATAATCACAAAAAAAGTATTTTAGGGGTATGTCAATGTTTTATTCTGTACCAAATTCCCTTTTCTCTTTCAGTGCAGTTATAAAATGGTGTTAGATCTTGCCAGCTGGTTCAAGGATATGTTTGTGCTGAAACCACTGGCTGAAAGTCTATTGTTCAAACATAGAACTGATCAGCTCCTAGGCTTGAAATCCTGCTACCGACAAATAGGAATAACAATGCACAATGTTTTGGCAAAGCCATGTCCTTATTGAATATCCCTGTAAGCTCAGACAGACGTTTTTAAAACCTCTATGGTTAAAAAAAACCATAATAAAAACAAAACAAAAACAGTGCTATCAGGATTGCATGCAGGCACCAAGTGTGTGGAGCAGACACATGCAAGAAGTTTAAAGTGACATTAAATGCTAGTGTAAGGACTTACCTTAAATGATGCCTCTTGATCCAAACATCTTCTTTCCAGTAGTTTTGAGGAGTCTCTCCAGCGTTGGTGGCGGTCTCTGATCCAGCGCTGACTGCAAAGTCTTCTGTGTCCCACGTAGTCTGTGCGGGTGCGCGCTGCGTGCATTGACTTACCCTGTGTCTATCCTCATCTCCCGGCTGAAGATCTGTACTGCGCATGCGCTCGCCCCATGATCTTTTGCGGCCGTCCGAGATTTTTCAGATCTTCGGATGAGAACGCGCGGTGGAGACAGGTAAGTTTTAACCTTTTTCGTAACTTTAAAAAAAATGTTTTTGCATAAATCTACTGCTTGCTAGCAGTAGATATATTTCAAAAACCCCAGAGGGTTTAATTATCCTTCAAGATCTTTGCCAGAACAGTCCAGGATTTGGCTGCAGTGGCAGGGATTAGAGCCCGCATCAAGTATGAAACACCTAAAAGTAACAATGAAAAGGAAAAAGAAGCTGCCCAAAATTATAGAACAGTGTCCAAAAACACATTTATGTGTTATCCTTTTAATCAAAAGATTACATTTTGGGGTAGCAGGGGCTAAGAAAATTCTCTAACATTAGACAAAATTGTGTTCTATACATTTATCTCTAGTTTTCCCCACCTTTTACCTAACCAAAACCGAATAACCATGTATTTAAATTGTTTACCATATTAGAGCTCCATCTGCTGTAAAAAAAAAAAAAAAAAGTAAAATTACGGAAAGCTCCAATTTTTAAGAA